TTTCTCTTCTTCCCTGTCCCCTCCGACAGAGCAGTCCCGTGAATTCCTGGCGGGATTCTCGGCTCGGTGCGTGTGCTACGAGAAAATTCTCCCTGTTCCCGTGGCTCTGGGATTTCCAGCTGATTTTCCCTGGCACGAACAGCCAGGTCAGCAGCACAGCCAGGCAGCACGCAGAGGACGAGCTCTGCTGGGGGTGGCTCTGTCCCCAAGGGTGACAGAACAGCACCAAGGTCAGCAGCTGGAGCAGGGATGTGCCCACAGGACAGGACCAAAGGTGTGCCCATGGTCTGCTCTGAATGAACTGACGGGAGGAACTGGCCCCTGGAAGACAACTCCTTTCCTAAAAATTGAAAATCATCTTCAGGAAGTCACCTGCCCTCGCTTTGTGCCTTCTCTCTGTTGCAGAAATTGAGTGTTTTTGGAGATCTCAAATGACCTCAGGTGAAGTGTACACCTGTAACTGTCAGCTACTGGGGCACTAAAAGTTTAAAGGTGAGCCAGCTGAACCTACAGAATGCTGGACACGCTAGAGCTGGCACCCACTGCTTTGGAAAGAAAGAAAATTGCTGAGACAGAGCAAATGGAGAGCAGGGGATGCAGCACAGCTTGGAAAAAACCCTCTAAACATAATAGTACTTCTTTGCACTATTTGACTATGCCCAGATAACAATGAAGTGATTGTTGTTCACTTGTCAGCACCATGACAAGTAAATGGTAAGTGATAAATACATCAATGACAAAAATCAGAAAATGGTGAGTTCTGCCTCAGCCCCTTTTCTGTTTGATCTCTTGGAGCTCTCACCTCGCCCTTGCCACTGCAGGTCTGACCCCAAAGGAGACCCCAGGCTGCACCACAGGGTCACAACAAAAGGAGAGAAGAATGACAGAGCCCCCGCAGTGCCTCACTCGGGGTTTTCTAGGGCCAGGCTGGGTGGGGAGAGCCAGGCTTGGCCATTCCCTGAACCCAGCAGGGAATGCTCAGAGACATTCAGGTAACGGGAGAACACCAGTGGAAAAGAACCCATTAAAACATGAGGTAGATTTTGAGGTTTCTGTATATTGTATTCTCTTCAGATTTCCAAAGCAAACAGGTACACGGCGACATTGATTCCAGTACAGGTTTAAGCACATGCAACACTGGTGTCCTATCTGTACATTGGTTTCTAAGGCTGCCCAAGGACCTTTACATTGAAAGCGTACAAGAACTCACACACACGTGCACGGATTCCTCCTGGCATCAGTCCTGAGGAAAAAAACAACTGGAATTTTACTGGAGAAACCAAACTTCAGCACTGCAAGCGCATCAGGGAAACCCCCCCCCCCCCAGCTGTTCTGAACTGCTTCCTAACCTCAAAACTCACTTTTTTTTTTTTTTTTTTTTTTTTTCACAATTTGGAGCTGAACAGGCTGTTGTTCATCAGGTTGTAGTGTCAGAAATGGTTCAAAACAGTCCAAGGTTTACAGTACTGGAGACAAAACCTATATTCCCATTAAAAACCATGCCGGATGCAGATGAAGTATCACATGGAGATGCTGACGTTCAAAACAGAAAACTGAGAAAACATAAGCACAGAGAGACCAGAAAACACATTAAACACTTCTCATTCGTGTATAATTTGTGTAATTATACAGTCAGCCTTTCTGTGACTTAAATACTTAGGCCAACCTAAATAATAACAATACAAAATTTTCTAAAACAGCTTCTCGTAGAAAGAATGACAGTAGTTGAAAGTAAATAAATAAATAATTATTTAAAAGGTCTGATATTGCTCTGAGACAGTGTCCATCAGGTTCCACTAGATGTCAGTGGCACAGAACCAGTTTGTGGCAGACTTAATGGCATCAGGTCCACTTGGTTTATTTATTTATCATCGGTACCTCGACTGTGAAACACAGCCCACGTCAACTGAACCAACCACCCAGGATTTATGGCAGTGAACTGAACCCAAAATAACAGTCTCATCTCATTTCTTTTCCCCCTCTTGCTCGCTTGATTTGAATAGAAGACTTGAAATCAGGCTCACAATGCCAAAAATGTGGTGAGATAAGCTGCTGAATCACTGCAGCTCCTCAGTGCTTCCTAAAGCAGTGACACAGAGCTCACTCCAACCCCAGCACTCTCTGTTTGTCAGGTACTGAACACCTTGAAGATAAAGCTTTTTATGTGAAATACAGTGTAGCTGATCCAGGTGGAAAATTATAAGGCACATACAATTTTTTTGTTGTTTTGTTTTGTTTTTTTAAAAACACACATTCTGAAGCATTGTTACAATCGTGCTACTCTCGGTGGCCCAGCCAAGGACAGAGGGGATGAAAGTCCACGAAATACAGGAAAATATAGGAAAAAAAAAAAAAAAACAGAAAAAAATTACAGAAACCAAAGAATAAAGCAGAACACATTGATACAATGTACACAACGACAGCAATGATCAACTCTTCTCATTTCTTTGGCCAACAAGCAGTGACAATTGCAAAGCATTCTTTGTTTTGCACTGGAAATACCTGACTTTATTTAGATACACAGATGTTTGCCACAGTACCTGAAATAAGTAAATAAAACAGGCTGGTTCTAGTTTATGTCTTTAACAAAACAAAGCTGCCAAGTAATTGTTGTTGGGAAATCATGAGAGAAATAATAATGGGGGCTACAAAAATGAGGAGCCAGTACGACAGCTGAGAAGAGAATCGTAGTTAAGGAACATATGAAACCAAATGGCAACGGTTCTAGGCATTTATTCCAATATCTTAGAAAATAAAAATAAAAAATACTCTTCATTGCATCACCATTTAAAGATAGAAAAACAAATTTTTAACTTAAGCCAAAAGAAGATGTGAATTGTTTTTTTTTTTTTTTTTTTTTTTTTTTTTTTTTTTTTTTTTTTTTTTTTTTCCCATTTGTAGCCTTGTTTATTCACAGTACAAACAGAGCCCGCTGGTACAGATTTTAAAGTCACAAGATGCACAAAGTCAGACAAGGAGCGCTGTTCCCTCTCTGCTCTGCAGAGCTGCTCTGCCCCAGAGAAACCCCAGCCCCCAGAGAAATAAAATCCCCAAACCCCACGTCCAGAGCCTCCTGAAACCGCGGAGCAGCAGCGCTAAAGCTCAGGGTGTGCATTCCCCCCCGGCACAAAGAACATTCCACACATTTCGGAATTCCACCTTAAGGCAAAAAAAAAAAATTAAAAAAAAAAAAAAAAAAAAAAATCAGGTAATGCGGTTTTCTACCTCTCCCCTTCGAAGTTTCCTGCTTTTCCAGATTTCAAGCGTGACCCCTGAAATTCAGTAAATGAACGGAACATTCGGCATAAGGAATGCTTTAACCAAAAAAAAAAGAAGGAATAAACAGGAAATGCTTTTCCCAACAATAAATAAATAATTTTCCCTTACTTCTATCTACATTTTGTTAAAGCATTTTATGCGTTTTCAATAACAAATTGCAACTTTTTTGGCAACTTTTTTTCTTTTTTAATAAAAATCCAGACAGTGTTCTCTGTTTGCAATCAGAACCACACCCTTAGTGCAATATTATATTTATTTCTTACAGTAATTTTGGTTGCCATACAAGAGTATTAAGGATTGGGGAAAAGTGCAAGTTACAGGAGCTTGATTTTTTTTCATCAGTCGAAATAAGAGGAATTAAAGCACAAAAATTACAGCAACATAGATAACGTGAACACAAGTTGTTACACAAACTATAGCGAGAAACATATTAGTATCTAGAAAAGAAAAGAAAAAATGTAATGGAAAAATTATCAATATTTGTGGCTCATACACATAATCATCGCCAGATCAACTGGGTAATGCTTTTTAAGAACTGAGAGGAAAAGGAAAAAAAAAAATCACTATTTTTTTATTAACTTAAGTACCACAAATAATTAACTCCTTTGTGATATGTAAATCCTGTAAATCAACAGTCACATCTAGTCATTTTATAATATATGAATTAAACTTAAAATGTTCTCAGACACCTAGGGCAAGGAGTCTGTGCAGTTATACACAATTTACATCTTGTAAGATTTTGGTATTGTATACACAAATATTACAGAAACTAGGCATGTAAATGCAATTTATTTAAATTACAGTATATAAACAAAAGTTGATCCTAAAACCCAGAATATCATAGATCTCTAACGACTTTGTTTTTCACTATCAGAGTAGCATGAAAGAAATGGGTCTTCTCTCCTCCCCCTTGGTGAAAATACTCGGAGGCCACGGCGTTATCTGTTACTATTGCTTTCTTTTTTTTTTTTTTTTTTTAA